CACTCTCTCTCTCTCTCTCTCTCTCTCTACCTCTCTCTCTCTATATATATATATATATATCTCTCTCTCTCTCTCTCCCTCCCTCCCTCCCCCCTCCTCATCACTACTTTTACTTTTTCCTTTGACAGACAATACATGGAAGAACTGGTCAAGTATGTGGAGAGGAATCCCAAATCTGCCGTGGCCTCAAAGTGGAAGCAAGAGAATATCATCAAGTGAGGTTTCTTCTACTATTTTCTATAGCATAGGTATAATATTCAACTTCCACAGGTATTTCAAAGAAATTGTACAGATGGGGGATGGGAAAAGAAAACGGGATAAAGTTAATAGGCAGGGGATTGAAAGCCTTTGAGCAGAGAGATGAGCAGTAGTGGTGGGCATTGCGATATATCGATATATTTGTACATCGATACCGTATTGAAGCAGTGAGAAAAGTATTGATATTTCGATATTTTGATATGCCCCCACCCCCCTCAAGAGAGAGAGAGAGAGAGAGTGAGAGAGAGAGATATGTATATCTACTAGGATACCTCACTGACTTTACGCTTTCCCCACAATATAACACACAAAATGTTTTCAAAATAATATATTTAAAAATGGAAGACAGCTTTGTTTTGCGCGTCGATACTTTATCAACCCGACTCGTTAATTATCTATATATTTGATGGCGAATTTCAATTTATCTATAATTATTTTGTAATATAAAAAAATATTGATATATCGATATTCCTTGTGAAAAAATATTGATATGGTATCAAATTTGATATTGCTGATATCGCACATCACTAATGAGCAGCAGAAAGTGGAAATGGAAGCAGATGACAGAACATACTTAAAGAGCAGGGAAGGAGGTTAAAGGGAAATTATTATTAGAGAGAAGAAAATTGTTGACCACCGTCAGGTTTGAAACCCAGGACCTGTTGAATGAGAGATGAACACTGTGCCTCTCGACCCCGAGAGGCCTCATTTACTGTAAAAGTAAAGTAAAGTTGTTCCCGCATCCGATCCGGACATTGGGGATTCCCTTGTTAGTGAGACAACTTCCTGGGCCTTCGGCATATTGTGGTAGGGTGGCCAGTTCCTTTCCACGCCGTCTTTTCATCCCCAACTTGAAGTCAGGTACCCATGACTGCTGGGTGGGCAGGAGGGGGCGAAAAAATCTGTGTCTGAACCGAGGCTCGAACCAGGACTTTCTGCTTTGAAGACGTGCGCACTAACCTCTCTGCCACCGCACCCTCATCTCATTTACTGTTCTTGCTCTTTTCTTCATGAAGTTCTAATTGTGAAGCGTGCTGACAAAATGAGTTGCTTCTCGGATTTGAGCCCTATGGAAATAGATACATCACGCTTGTCTTATCGGTGAATTTTTCTAAAATTTGTCACACCTTGTCCACAAGGTTGGGGTCACTACAGTCGGAACATGCCCATCTCTGTTTTTACAATTTATAAGTATGAAATAATAAAAGGCATGTTATACTCAAAGGATATGATATCAATAGTAAATCTACACAATTGACCCGTATGTCGATTTTTGGCCAATATCTCCGTTTGTGGATTGCGAGAAGTAACTCATTTTGTCAGCACACCTCACAGTTGTGTCACAATGCGGTGTAATCAGGCACTCGTCAGTTTTTGGACATGTGGAGTTATTGGTATTATTATCTGAAAGCTTATTCATTTACCTTGCTTTCTGGGGGAAAAAATAACCTATGTGTCTTGAACAGAGGTCGAGATATTTACCATTGAAGGAGGTGGGGGTGGCCTGGTCTCCGAGGTAAAATTAGCGAGAGAATGGCTGCCAAACTTTGGTAATATCTATAGCTTGAGAGTCCTTGAAAACTGAAAATGTACATATTTTGTGCCATTAATCAACGTCTTTCAGTCAAATTCACATGGAAATGTGTTTTTATATGGAGATAAAATAATTTTTGGTAAAAAAATATCCAAACGTTAGGAAAAAATACTTTTTTCTTTGAATTCAATATTTTGACGAGTGCCTGATTTGGCCACGATGCCTCACAATTGCGTTTCCAGAAGCCTGCCTGCACCTTTGAGAGACGCCATCAACCCTAGACAGTGGCGCAAGTTGTATACCCTTCATGACATCAACTCGGCCCTCTCCAAAGTGCAGCTTGTTGGCTTCAGTCAGAAAGTGGTCAGTACAAACCATACACTGTGCACATATTTCTTTGAGGAATTTGGCTTTTACTCTCTCTCTCTCTCTCTTTCTCTCTCTCTCCCGCACCCTCTCTCCCCCCTCTCTCTCTCTCTCTCTCTCTCTCTCTCTCTCTCCCCCGCACCCTCTCACTCTCTCTCCCGCACCCTCTCACTCTCTCACTCTCTCTCTCTGTGCTTTGGTATTTTTACATGAAGAATGTATCGCAGTTGAAAGCTAGGTGAAAGTTTACAAGACTTTTAATAAACAATTTTGTCAATTTTCTGGATAAATCTGGATTTTTTAAATTGTCTGGATTTTGCACTTGATAAAAAAAATCAGGATTTCTGAAATTGGCTGGAATTTTTCACTTTTTATAAAAATGTATAAGACACTGTCAACCCTGAATTTTGAATCCATACTCGTAGGCCTATGTCTCCACAGGGTTCGAAATGTTCAGGGTTATTATTCGAAGCCAATTGGCACCTCTCGTTATTATTCACACTTAACCCATGGGGCGGTGCTACTGACTGAAGTGTCTTTAGGCCATTTCCAAAGGGGGAACATTAACATGTTCTTTTGCACAGTAGAATTGTAAATGGGCTGATTCATCAATTTCATGCTTATAACTGTGCCTGTTCTACAACAGGGAACTGCTGCTTTTTCTTTCCTACTCTTGATTTCAACAATGTCCTCTACTTCTTTTGTTTGTTTGTCACACTCGCTTTTTCCGGGGTTCCTTGATAGTCGAAGCAGACTTTATGCTGTTAAAGCGAGAGAGGTGAGCAGAGTAAGCATGATACACTGTATAGATTTCTCTGTTGACATCCACCCCTTGGAACTCATTTGACCTTATGCAGTTTTGAGTGCCGTAAAAACTCTACTAAAACTAAAACTACTCACGTTTCATATCCTCCACAGGACATCTTTGGCTCCCTCACAGTGACCCCCGCCAGTTCCGGCTGCTGTATTGGCAGTTGTAACTGGATCATCCAGTCCACGTTTGAGAAGGTAGTGCAGAGAATATAAGTTCGTTTTTGTTAACTCTTTAA